CTATTAAAGTGTTAGATTGTTCTCCTTTTTTTCAAACCCGGGTTTCAGTTATTTGAGAAGTCGCAATTTGAAAAAAAAACGGCTCCCAAACTAATTTTGTTTAGATCCGATCATTGCCTCATAAAGAAATTTTGCTTACTCTTAAATTTTTATATGAAAATTGAAGTCGGTTTTGTTTTTTTGCTTAAAAATTACTTGTTTTAATATTAAATTATTACATTTTCTTTTACCTTTTTCGGCAAGCAGCCGCCGTATCCGAGTGCTTAGAGGTGCCTACTACCTCTCTGGATGCTCACGGTTCAATTTCTGGTACATCAAAAAAGTTTTTTTCAAATAGCGATCGCTTCTCTCTAGACAATTGTGTACTTTTGCTATAAAAAAGCTCAAAAGTCACAACATCATGACGCAGAACACGAATTGGAGCAGAAGTTCGGCCAAACAAAAAACGTTAAAGCACCATTCTTAGTCCTCTGCCAAAATATTAATAATTATGTATGAGAGCAGTGCCGATTTAAAAATACCTCCAAAAGCGATTTTTTTTAATAAATAAAACACATTTTGTAAAATTTTTTCCCCCAAAAAATCACCTCAAGTAATAGAAGAGCTTAAGCTTAAAAGGCCTGCGTTAAAATATTTAAACATTTTATTAACGAAACTAAAATAATGAGATCTTTTGAGGTATTTTCAAATCGGTCCAACACACGTAAATCTTAATATTTTTCGAAGTATTAGGAGCAAGTTATAAAATATATTAATTTTATAATTCCGATGGAAAAACAGTAAATATTCGAATGTTAAAAAATCCTAAATGATTGCAGCCTAACTACTCAATATGTTATGTACATAAGAATGTGATATACTCTATCTACATACATGCATACATACATGAAAATTTAAAATTATGTATGTACATATTACTTTACAGAGACAGCTCGAGTCATTTATTCATGCACGGCTTTTGCTATTGGACCAACAATACACTCGATAATGGTGTTCTATTACAAAATGGTGTGACATGGAAAATTAGTCCTTTTTCGGACAAAGGTATTTATCAAATTATAAAGAAGATGAACTTTTATTAAAATTCTTTTTAATAATATCTAGGCCGAGAGAACAAACAGATTACTGATAAAAGGCCTGATTTTATGTTTGGTGAGCTTGGTTTTAGTGTGCACATGACGCCGAATAATGAAGAGATTATAATTGGTGCACCAGGCATATATCGGTGGTCAGGTAAGAAATATTTATGTATACGTAAATATGTACGAAATGGCAGGACAATTAGTTATATGTTTGCACATTAGATCGTACGAGAAAAGTAAGTGCGCGTCACCCCTGAGTCTAAAGTATTTTTGCAAGGCAATTTCGAACAATGTAAAAAAGCAACTCTTAGGTTCGCCAAAAAAAAAATTGTTTTTTTTTTAAATTTCACAGAAGTAATCCGCAAGGTCAAACGAAGTGGGGATTACTATTAACGCAGAAAATACAGATCTGGTACTTTTCACCAGGGATTACAAGGTTCCGAACTGGTCTAAGCCTAAGCTGGATGGGATGACCCTACAGCTGAAGTAAAACACCAAGTATCTTGGAATAATACTCTATAGCAAGCTGTCGTGGCGCCTCAATTTGGAAGAGAAGGCGAAGAAGAGCTCAGCGACACTCTATACATGCAAAATATGCTGGGCTGTACCTGGGGTTTACCGTCTTCTCTTCCTCACAGCATCTGCACGGTGATAGTCAGGCCGATACTGTTCCATAGGGTATTGGTTTGGTATACGTTATGGGACAATTTGTGTGCAGGTCCTATATACACAGTAGTATAGCGTCAATTTTCTCAGATCTGCACTTTGGGACGAACTTCATGACCACTATAGAGATTGAAGTCTGCCGTGGGGGCATGAGGAGTTCTGGCTCGGTGAATATCTACACAGACGGGTCGAAGATGGGAAAGGTGTAAGGGCGGCAGTCACTCACGCAGAGCTTGATCTCTACAAATCCTATAAGCTGTCGAGCCACTGCTGCATATTACATTCCTAAGTATTGGCCGCGCGAAGCTACTGAGCAGCAGCTCTGGATTTGCTATAAACTGGGGTTGAACACAAAGTTTCAAGGTATCCAGAATTATGTGCACAGCGTATTATATAAAGCTCACGATGATTCTCCTATTTCTCAAGAGTGAAAACGCTAGGCTACTGGTGGATGTACCTGCTAGCATCGCACACCTTTAAACTCCCTCTGACTAATTATAAAAACCGGAAGAGATGCAGAACAAATGAGGAGATACTGTAGGCATATCATATGCGAATGTCCCGCCCTCAGCAGACCGCGGTTTATTCTTCTGGGAGCAGGCTTTCTGCCTTATCTGAAACCCGCTGCCCAGGTAGGGTACAGCAAGGTGTTTCAGTTTGCCATTGCTTCTGGTGATTAGCTGTCAAGTCTGGTCGTAAGCTGGTACGGTGGAAATGTAAAGTCGGAAATCAAATGCTCTCACCTCCTAGGATTGTTCTAAATAGAATAAAATATACCTCGTTTTTTTTTATTTCATAATCAAAAAACATTTAGAGTTAGTTGAGCTTTCCGCAAATGGTATAGATTTCTAGAAAACCAATATTTATCGCTTGGTCCCACGGTTTATTATTATTATTTATGGGTATTATTACTGAAGGTCTCCTGAAGAGAAATAAAGTTTTCCGATAAAAAAATATTGATTTTCAAGACTATTCTACAAAAAATTGCTTTTTCCCATATAAAATACATGGAAAAGTGCTTTGGGCGACCTATCAATATTGTTTGATTTCAAAATAAAAAAAATAAGGGTCTAGTTTTCTTGTTATGGAACAATCCCAGGGGGTGAGAGAATTTAAATTCCGACTTTACTTATTTGGATCACCCGACTTTTCCTATGTCTGTCTGTATGTTTGTACGCGCATCACTCGAAAACTAATGCATGAAATTGAATGCAGTTTTCGTTGATATATTGCTAGAGGTCTAACTTAAAATATGAAGGGAAAAAACTAGAGAGTTGCCACCATTTTAAAAATTCCAATTTAAGTAAATTGATAAGATAAAGCAAACACTGCATAATGGCTGTCAAAAGAAAGAGGTTTAATAAGAGGGCTTACAAGTGAAAATATTTGTGTGGAGGTTGCCACATATATATGAAAATTTTAATTTCATGTACTTGATAAGATATATTAAATATTGCAATATGGGTATCAAATTGAAGAGGTTTAGGAAAGTTTACTGCCGCAAGTATTTTTGGGGATGGTTGCCACCGGTTTGAAAAGTTTTATTTAATTAAATTTATAAACTAAATTAAATTTTACAATACGGACATTAGACAACACAAAAATACTTTTAAGGCGCAGTGAAGCACATTATTCATATTTATTCATAGGAGCAACAATACATGTTGATGTGCTAAATCGAAGTCCTGACTCTTCGAAACATGGTACCATACCATTTACGTACAAAGGATATGCAGTAGCATCCGGCTTTTTCGAAAAAAATAATCAACAACTATATTACGTAGCTACAGTGCCCCGAGCTTATCAACTATTGGGGCAGGTAAGTCTTATTACCAATGATTTGATAATAAATACTTGTGTGCGCACTTACATACACACTGGTAAATATAAATATTTATTTCTGATTGCAGGCACTAATATACACAAAAAAATTTGGAGTTTATAAACAAGTTTTAAACCTGGCAGGCGAACAGTATGGTGAGCTTTTCGGCTATGCCGTACTGGTAGAGGATGTGAATGGCGATGGTTTAGATGATATTCTCATAGGTGCGCCATATCGCACGGTAAATGGCATTTTAGAATCGGGTGCAGTTTATATGTATATAAATCGAGGAGTGAAAGGTCAGGTAAGTAAATAATTGCACACGTCTATGCAAATGTATGTATGTACATATCTCCATCGTCAGGCAGAACTATAATTAGTAGAATAGAACTTGTATTTTTCTATGTTACTTGGGTCAAGAATCAACCGGGGGAACTATAGACTGGAAGCACGAACCTGAAACCACTCGGCTATATACAGGGTGTATTAGACTACCCGTCCACCCCTATTCTAATATGGAGGAAAATAATTTGTGTTGAAAAACGCAAAAATATGAACTAAGAAGTCTATCTTTTGGCCGCACTTCTGACTTCCGGTTTCGACCGGAAGTGGGTAAAACTGACCGGAAGTCAACTTTTTTAATCGGAACACACATTTTCATACTACAAATTCGGACTCTGCGGAGTAAACTACGTAGCTTTTGTTTGAAAGCAAGTCCTGAAGTTTTAAAATGGTCGAAAATGTTTTTTATTGGGAAACGAAAAAATATAAAATACCAAGTCGCGAATGCTCTATTTTTTGGTACTAATGCCAACATCCGGTTTCGCGGGGACCGGAAGTTCATCCTTTTAACCGGAATAATTCTATTTCAGAATAGAGTTTCCGACAAAAGTTATATATTTTTGTTCCCAGAATCTGAACACGTGGTAAAAACATGTGTACTACATTTAACAACAATGGACTTCCGGTCAGTTTAACCCGCTTCCGTTCGAAACCGGAGTTCGTTATACCACCAAAAGATAGAGCATCCCCAACATTGTAGTTCGTATTCTTGAATTTTCCGATAAAAAACATTTTCCTCTATTTTAGAAGAGGTGTACGGGTGGTCAAGGAGAGCGTGCATGGTAAAAAGCCGATGCACAGTGGTTGACAGTTCAGTGGCGCCTTCATCTTTCACTCAATTTGATTAATTTTGTTTTTAAATGAAAGCTAATCAAATTTTCAAGAGAACAGTTTAGCCCGATTTATGAATTATTGTTTGTTTGTATGAAATATGTAATGAAAAATGCAGAAAAAGTAACGATTTTGAAGAAAATTTTAATATATTAATAAAGGTTACGTAATAAAACTTAGTTGTAAACAACTGGAGGGTTCTTCTAAAACGAAAAAAAAAATGAAATGTTATACAAAAATTTTCACCAAAATTATTATTATACCTTTCATGAGCATGAAATGGTATTATAACTTTGGTCCGATGTTTGTAAGTACCAGAACAAAAAGAGATAGACCCATTAAAATGTATACTTTTATGATCAGAACGTCGAGCTGAGTTGATTTAGCCATGTCCGTCTGTCCGTCTGTCCGTCTGTCCGTCTGTCCGTCTGTCTGTCTGTTTGTATGCAATCTAGTCTCTCAGTTTTCGAGATATCCGGATCAAATTTGGTAGGTGGGTGTATTTTTATAATGTATTAATCATTTGTCGGAACCGGAAGAATCGGACCACTATAACATATAGCTCCCATACAACTGATTGTTCAGATATGAGATTTTTCGTTATAACTTCTCCATTTATGCAGCTACGAACATGAAATTTTGCAGCCCTTGCACCCATTATCAACAGAATTCTTACAGTGAAAATTACAAAGATCGGGTCACTATAACCTATAGCTCCCATACAACTGATTGTTCAGATATAAAATTTTTCGTTATATCTCTTCCATTTATATAGCTGGGAACAGGAAATTCCGCACAGTTTTCAATAATTATCAACAGAAAACTTACAGTGAAAATTAAAAAGATCGGATAACTAAAACCTATAGCTCCCATACAACTGATTGTTCAGAAATGAGATTTTTCGTTGTAATTCATCCATTTATGTAGCTAGGACCATGAAATTTCGCGCTGTTTTCACTCATTATCAGCAGAAGACTTACAGTGAAAATAACGAAGATCGGGTCACTATAACCTGCAGCCCCCATACAACTGATTGTTCAGATATGAGGTCTTTTATCATATCTCCTCCATTTATGCAGTTAGGAACATGAAATTTCGCACCATTTTCACTCATTAACAGAATACTTACAGTGAAAATAACAAGGATCGGGTGACTACAACATATATCTTCCATACATCTGATTGTTCAGATATGGGATTTTACTGTAAAACTCCTTTATTTGAACAGCTAAAACCGATAAATTTCGTAAGATATTTTATAAATAATAATACAAAGTCTACTGAGAAAATCGTCAAAATCTATGCTGTATAAGCTTTATCTCCTATAGCACTGATTGTTCAGATACCAGTTTTTGCGATATATCTCCTTTATGTAGGAAACTAAACCCAATAAATTGTGTTACCGGTTTACATACCGATCACATAGCAGTGAAAATCACTTAGATTGGTGCCATATAAAGTATATCTTCCATACCTCTGATTGTTTAGATGCGATTTTTTATATAAGTATGTAACTCCTCTATCGATGTATCAAAATCAGTAATCTGTCAAACTAAAATTTGCAGATGTTCATGAAAGGTATGAAGCCTTCGGCATAGCCGAAGACAGCGCTGCTCACTTGTTTTTTGTTTGTTTTTATAAAAATTTCGGGTATGCAAATTTATAGATTATTTAATTTTAGTATAACTTGCAATTTGCAAGTAGTTAAGCGGTCGTGTTAATTTTTAATAATTTTTATCGATAACATTTCGAGCACATCTGCATTAGAGATGCCATTCCAATTCGATTTTTTGTCAATTTTTAGTTCCGATTCGATCCATGAACCGATCCAAAATTTTCGAGAATCGACATTCGATTTTTTCTCAATTGATGCATGTAACATTGCATTAGAAAATCTAGAAAATTTTAATCAAATTTGAATTTGAGGTTGGTTAGTACAAAAAATGAATAGGGCTTGGATATTGTATCTAGCTGTAATTTAGAGTATATGCACTAGTTTATTTAATAAAAAATAGCTAAAGTGCAAATTTGAGCAAAATAATAAGTATGTACATATTGCGCTGCAAAACTGCACACTAAAATTTTTCTAAAAAAGGTGATTATGGATTGACATATGCAGTCAGCGAAAACAAAAAAATCGTTCTTTGCTATTTTTTGGCCTAATAACAAGTTGCTAAATATGAAAACAAAAAAAAAAAAAATTAAAAATCTCTATTGCGAAAAAATCTGTATACGCAAGTTTTATTGGGCTAGTGTTTTTGTGTATAATACATTTTTTTAAATAGCGGTTCATTTTGAAATAAAACAAATTGTGATAAAAAAAAACGAAAAAAATTCTACCTAAGTAGGGCTAAAAATTTATGAAGTTTCTGTTGAATATTCGAATTGTTGTATTTTTTTTAGGTATTTAGGGACTCTTAGCTACCTAATAGCTTTTGGATAAATCTAGACATTGAAACCGTTATAGCAATGCATGTTTTTAAATATACTTAAAATAATGTTTGTAATTTCAGTGTTGGTTAGATTCAAATCGACTCAAAAACCGATTTTTTTATTTCGATCTGGCATCTCTAATCTAAAATACCCGAATAGTATTTATCCCCTTATTATTTTATTATTACAGTTAAATTTCAAGCCCTTGATCATAGAGTCGCCTCTGCTCAATCGAGGACGCTTTGGAACAACGCTCAGCAGCCTAGGTGATGTAAATGGAGATGGTTATAAGGGTAAGCCCATTTTTGAAATAAACTACAAGCGTTAATGCATATACATACATGCATACACATATGTATGTACGCAATTACAAAAACAAAAATCAATTATTAGACATTGCCATTGGTGCGCCGTTTGCCGACGGTGGTGGTGCTGTCGCTATTTATTTTGGCAGTTCAACCGGACTAGCTGACCAGCCAAGACAGATTTTGAATGTAAGCGACCAATTCGCCGATGGTATGTTTGGACATGGTCTCTCCAAAGGTGTGGACATAGATGCGAATGGCTTCAATGATCTGGCTGTTGGTGCGCCAAATGCAGATACCGTCTTTATTTATCGCGCCTATCCGGTGGTGAAAGTTATTGCAACCATACGACCTTTGCACGACCTAATTCCCACAACTGCAACTAATCTTCAATATGAAATCTGCTACAGTATTTTAACAAATTCCACCAAAGATCAGAAGCGAGACATTTTATTAGACTTGACTGTCGATGCAAAAGAGAAGCGGGTAAAGATTTTGAGTTTTAAAAATAATGAAACCTTTACAGCGAGCCGATGGCCAAAATGTACGACATACAATGATACCCTCAAATTCGATTTTCGCTATGAATTTGTGCCGATAGTTTTGAAACTTTCATATCGATTAAAGTATGATGCGAAGGCGTGGAGTGGTGCAGGTAGGTGTAAAATTTAGATATGCGTTTACGCGAAGTATTGCGTTTTTAATATACAAGTAATGCAAAAATTGGTTTTCTTCAATTAACAGAATTTTGTAAGAAATGCGCTATAACTGATCCTCTTTGGCCAAGTTCGACTGAGGCAAGTATTCAATATTTGCATAATTCTGTCGATTTGCAGCTTGGAAGCGTGAACGTACCGTAAGTAATACGCAAATTTGTATTGATCATTGAATGTATATCGTTGCCTTAATTCAAAAAGGCCCTAACCAACATTTTTCTTTGAAAATGCGTTTTTCACAGATTTTGGTTGAATATATTAAAATATGGCCTCACTAAAAATTTTAAAGTGTTAGTACCAAAAAAAAACGCATTTATACACCACTTTTTAAAAAGGCCTATCTGTTTTTGATTTTCTTTTTATAATATTTTTTGATTCTTCTTAGTCCGGTCAAGTTAGACATTCAAGGTTACAATAATTTCCATAAAGCTGAAAATTGGTACGAATGTTGCGAACACCATTATAAATGATGTGTTAGAAGTCCCCATCGATCTCACGTTAGCAAAAAAAATGTATTCAAGGTCAAAGGTCACATAAATTTTTTTTTTCATTTTTGTACCAATTTTCAGCTTTATGCGAATTATTGTAAGCTTACCCCTATTTATTGAGCTAATTTAACTGGGCTACCTGTAAAATAGAAAATTTGTTGGTGAGGGTCTTTGAGGAATGTATGTATGTAGAAACATTTTCAGAATGCCGCTTAACTATGGAAGTTGATTTAACCAATAACCCATTATACAAACATATTCGCTCGGGGATCTTGTACATTAAGTAGCTCTCCTCCGGTACACATAATAGCCGTCACTGTTGTTCCGGTCTATGCCTACGGTGACCAGATTTCTGTGGCAAAAAATGGGGACATTTCTAAAGCATCGAATCCGAACCTACAATTTTGTTTTTGGAATAAAAAGACATATCATCTTTTAATACAGTTTTATTTAAAACATAGCAAAGACGAGGATTGGAAAAGTGATCGGAAAAGTGTACACAATATATACGGTGGCGAGAATTTAAATAGGGAAAAGAGATTTTAGCAAGATTTTGCTACTTTTCTTTGTTTCAAATTTAAATTTTAGTGTAACAAAGTGCATGTTTGAAGTAGCTTGAACTTAGCGCTGATTTATGCCAATTTGCTCTGCACATTCTTCCATACAAACTATCATCAAATATTTTTACATTGTCTTTGTTAGATAACGAGTATACTTTCATAAAAAAGTAATAAAAATTACATAATCGCCAAAGAATGCTAAAATATCTCTTCCCTATTAATATTTTCGCCACTGTATCTACAACTTATGAATATTTTCTTGAGGGAATCAGTATTATTTTTTATAATTACAATAAATTCAAGTTAGAATCGTTACATTAAAAAACAAAAAATAAAACTTTACAAATAAGTATAGATGTTATTTTCAAGCAAAAAACAAAACCGACTTCAATTCTTATATAAAAATTTAAGAGTTCCTTAAATTTCTTAATGATCTAATGATCGGACCTAAACCAAATTAGTGTGGAACCACCTCTGAGGTACTACCTTTACTTATAGAAATAAAAAAATATATATATTCCGATGAATTGATAACCTCCTTTTTTGAAGTCGGTTAAAAAAAACTTTAAAAAAATTTAGAGATGAATGATAGACTGCAATATAGCGAGAAAACCAGTTTGACAGAATAAAACATAACCAAAGACAGTAGAAAATAAGGATGGTGGCTATGTTTATGGCTCCCGTATATTTTATGTCCTTTGTGAGAACGAGAGTGCTGCCTCGTTTGTATGAAATTTTTTTTTGCGCCAGAGTACAGGGAAACTCTTATTTACATAATTAATAAAGAAAACTTTGAAAATTGGGAATAAATCGGTGCAAATATGAAAAATCGGGACACTTATACTACGTCGGCATTAAATATCGGCCTTGATGTTTTCATTTAGCGCTTAACGGAAACTTTACCTAATTGTCCAACATGGGTAGCCAAGCCTAATCCCTAAAAACCACGCTTACAATTTCTGACGGAAAACGGAAGATAAACCGATGGTAATCCATATTTTCGTTTATTTTTTCTCTTTCTGCTTACTTTCTGCTTACTTCTATTAAACAAATAATATATTCCTCTTATGCTGAGTTTCCACTAGGCATTAAATGACAAACTTTTTAATGTCAATGTTGGGCATTAAAAAAACTCATGCCATTACTTATACAAAAAATAGTCATTATGTCTGCTTCCACATGGCATAAATTTTTTGTCATTTTAATGCCTAGTGGAAATTCGGCATTATATAGAAAATTAAACATCCTACGACTAGATACTCTTAACTTCAGCACGTTTGCAAACTTCTATGAAACAAATGAACAATATAAAATTAAACAATTTTTACGTTTCTTTTTCAAGTTCTAAAGTTATACTGGGTGCAACACAAATTCTACCCATCAAATATGTTATTACCAATGTGGGACAGGAAGCCTACAATACACTACTGACTGTTAAATCGTCCATAAATGTGCCATTTGCCAAATTACCACCTGAATGTGTTGGAGAATTCGATATAGAATGGAGAGTTGTGTGCAGCATAGCTAAGCGACGAGCATTTATCGGCAGCGCGGAAGTAGAACTGAGTTTTGATTTGAGTAATGTTGTGAGTGTCACTGAAATGGATATAACCGCATTCGTGTCCAGCACTGGCGAAGAGAAAACACCTGAAAATAATCATTTATCGAATGCAGTAAAACTGATAACGACGACCGATATTTGGATAGTCGAGTAAGTCTTTGAAGGCGGTGCAAGCAAGATAAATTTATAATTTTTCATATTTTGTTAATTTTGTCCCCCTTCTCAATTTAAGGACTTCCAGCAATGATATCATAGCCATTGCGAATGAGGAGCAAAATATTTCCATTTCGACGATTTTTGAGGTGTGTTAACAGCTTATTATTGCTCAAAATTCTTTGCTTTTGATATTTCTAATACTTTTATTTCGAGTTGCATTACAGATACAAAATAACGGTCCAAGTCCGTTAAATCTTTTCCATTTAATCACCGAATTTCCCATCGGATATATTGACGATAAAGGCGTTGATCACTTTTTTGTCAGCAACATCTCAGCCCAATTGCGTATAAAGAATTTTGTAAATCCTCCATTAGTATTTGAAAAATCTCCGCCTCTATCTGCGCCAACATTGAATTCCACCGATATTTTGAATACAAATCACTTGAACGAAAATCGCACGATACTCCTCAGTTGCCAATCGACCGAAGAATCGAATGTGAAAATGTTATGTGCTTTGAATGATTTGTCTTTGTCCTGTGGACTACAGCCCGGACAAAATATAACGCTGGAATTAAGCTATGACGTCCAATGGGGAAACGTTCAAGACCTGATGGCGAACAATGCAGAATACTTGGCTCATGTTGCTATGGTGAATTTAAAACCTAGTTCAGAAGTAAATGGGTAGGTATTGGGTTTTAAAAACACATTTAGTTATGTATATAGCTACGTCTATAGAAGTTATAGGCAGCATACACGGTGCGTCTGACTCGCGAGTCGGTTTGGATGTGTTAGTTACACCGACATGACTCTGAATGACTCAACTGTGTGTAGTCGAAAGGCGTGTCAACAAGTACACAAATGACTCACGAGTCAGACGCACCGTGTATGCCGACTATTAAGAGATTCACAAAACGTTTTAATCAAGCCCTAAAATTTGTAACTTCGCCAAAATGTTTTTAAATTATTTGATAGGAAATATATTAGTGGCTCTTATTATACCCTACAAAACTTTTAAAAAGATTAAGTTTTTCATGTGTTCCTTAGGGCACAAAGTTTTTCGTAGAATTATCAAATATGTAGTTAAAAATAAATATTTTTGGTCGTATAAAAATGTTTCCATTAAGAAATCTTCAAACAATAAAATTATGATGAAGCCACTTTGGCTATGCGGTTAGAGGTGCGTACTACCGTTCCAGAAAGTTTTTTTCCAACTGCGGGCGCCGCAGGATATGGCAAACCTCCGAATGCATTTCTGCCATGAAAAAGCTTCTCATAAAAGCCATTTGCCGTTCGGAGGCGTAGTACAACTGTAGGTTCCTCCATTTGTGTAATAGCACCAAGACAAACACCCCAAATCGGGGGGAGAAGCTCGGCCAAATACTAAGCAAAAGAGTAAACGCCAAAAATAATTACCAAATTTTTTGAGTTAAATTTGCATCATAATTCTATCTTTGGAACATTTTCGAAGGAAAATATCGAGCAACAAGTATGTATGTATATATTTTTAAAGATTTTATAGCAATTCTACGAAAAAACTTTTTTCCCCCATAAAAAATATATGAAAAACTTCAAAGCCCCGGCGGCTTACTTTCTATTTTCTATAATTCTGGGAGGTGGTGGCAAGGTAATTCTAAAAAGTTTGAATTTCCTGACTATTTTTGGATCGTGTGTACATATCGAACCGTAACCGCCAAAAAAACGTACGTAAGCGATATTTTCCATCTACATAAATACTATAGGAACATTTCTGCATCAAAAAGGAAGTTTTGAGAAATATTTCATCTACATCTGTTAGGCGGTTAGTGATCAATATGTTTTCATTAAGCTAGAAATGCAAGTTTTACCTAAATGCGTATGACTGTACCATTTTAGGGTAGGTTAGATTCTGTTATTTTGTCCTTCAGTATGAAAAAGGAATCACAGCCAAGGTAGCAGTGTCGCAATCTTTCGAAAACTGAACGGTGACACTAGGGGTGTTCAATTGTGTCTTTGGACCTTCATCACATGCCCTACATTCTTAGATACTCGGTATCAGTCCGAACTTGCACGCACGAATAGTGTGAGACAGCGTCACGTGATAGCCGTAGGAAGTTATCCGCTATGGCTTTGTCCAGGAACCCAGAAAATAGACGCTTTTATATGGCTCAGTGAAGCCAGCGATGCACGACATTTTCAACCTTCTTCCGACTGTACTACCTTGGAACCTAACGTTTTCAGTGCAGCCTGCCCCCCCCAACAAAAAAGTATATGACCGTTTATGACGGAGAATTACCATTCAGTATGAGACAGCCGCCTTCTCTATGGTAAAGATCTCCCGCCTGCAAGACAATGAAGCTAGCAGGCGAGCGATATGATTGCCTTATATGCAGGTCCTTGTAGAATAGACTCGAGCCGAATCTCGCATTTTTGCTTGGTAATGCAGAAATGTGAAAAATCGCATAGATAGACAAACATCCACGCCCAGTACACTGGGGAGCGGAGATGGTAAGTGTTATCCGATTTTAATGTTCTATTTTAGTTGTAACCGGATAAACTCTAATCTGGAAGATGGTCACAATCGGCTCACTGACCCGCCCATATAACAGGATACTCTACGACTCAGTCCAGATCCTCCAGAAATGCTTCGATGGAGACGATATTGAAAGCTTTTGAAAAAACTGTATCGATTATCGATCGTATTTAATCATAATTTTGTTCAAATTTAATGAATATAAACTTAGATCAAAAATTTTATTCAAAAAAGCATACAAAATAAACCAATTCGACCATTTTTGATCGTAACAATAGAAACCCGAAATTGAGAATTGCTTTACCCATCGTCTCCACCTTCTACAGGTTCTGTTAAAAAAACTGAGTTAAGGCAGAAATGTCAAGTGGATACCGCAAATTTTCACTGTTAAACCATATCAGCTGTCATTTCGTAGGTTGACAACTCATATCTTATTTTACCGCGCCATCTACATTGGGTACAGATCAACCAGATTGGCTTGATGATATTTTGAAAGTGACATGTTAAGACAACAAGTTGCCCATATGAGAAAACCGGACAAAGTTAAAACAGAAATTTGACAGATGTTAAAACATATTTAGTAGAAGGTGGAGACGTGGGGTTACTTCTTAGTTGGCGTGGATTTTGGGCCCGAGACCTAAAAACGCTGCAGCGCGTCATTCCATCTTCTTTGCTACCCGTTAAATTAACATTAAACTCAACTGCCATGGATTATAGTAAGGCTACCCTCATCAGAGTTTGACAGTTAAGTCACATATCGGTTAAATATCAGAAACAAGTTTTTGTCAAAACTGCAAACTGCTGACTGGGTATAAGCCTTTGTTATTGTTACCGAAAAATTCAAAATAACGAAATATAAATTTTTTTTTATGGTATTTGGGCGTATTCCTTTAAACTTGACTGGTCGCTCGAAAACTGTTTAATAAAAATTTTGACATTTCTGTCTAAGTTTCGAGTTTCTCAAAGTTTTTGAGGCTTTCTCCAGTTCAAAGGAATATCCTTATAAATTTGTTGTATATAATATGATTAAAATTTCTTTTCGCATTGTCTTTTCAGCCGATTGAGTATAAAGCGACACTTCAAAGGTGCAATTTTTGTGAAGATCAATAAACAGAAAACATGGTGGATTTATCTTCTGGCCATAGTTGGCGGTTTGCTTTTGTTGGTTATAACAACGTGGCTATTGAAAAGAGTAAGAAAAGTGGTTATAATATAAAGCCATAAGAATCGTTTTTATTTTTATTTACAAAATTTAATGAGCGTTCAATATTGCTGAGCCTCGAGCTTATTATTTAAAAGTTTTCAAAATTTGAATTACTAAAATTTCATATTCATATTATTTCAGCGGGGTTTCTTTAAACGTCTGACAAAAGAGCAAATGGAGCAGAATTTCAAAGAAAAGCAAGAAAAAGCTCGTATGAAGGAGGAACTTGATGAATGTACTGCAGAAATGGAAGAAGATGTGTCACTTTACGACGATGATCAGTAAAATTTTTCTAAGTTAAATTTTGTAAATCAATTGCTGGGCCGATTTTGTATAGAGGGAAATAAACGCTGTTTTATCGTATTGTAATCGGGTTAATATATTTTCTTAGGTCCAAGCTATTAATAACTGACCACAAAAGATTAAATTCAAGTTTATCTTTAGCCAGCGCAATTGTTTTAAAAGGCCGCCGTTTTGACAAAGTAACTTTGGTTGATAATATCTAGGGAAACACGGTAAACGATGGAAGCCAGCAATGTTTCAGATTAAAGGTTATAAAATTTAAAATCCAACCTTTATATATCATTTTTAAATACCACTTACCAGAAGGTGGAAAAGTATTTTCCTGTTTTGAGTTCTATGAGTAATCTTCACAATTAGTTCACTCTACCTGGATTTTATTTAAAATACATTTGCGCTGAAATAATGGTAGATGATTTTTTGTTGTACCTAGGTATATGTGACCTGGTCTACGGAAAGGGGGCTTAGGTGTCAAAAAATCAATTTTCACTTTTTGGTTGATTCGGATGGAAGATGAGATGCTTTTTCACCTGGTGAAAAGCAGAAAATCCTAACTTGCTTAGAAGTGTACTAAAAATGTAGAGAAAGAAGAGTAAAAATACGACAAAATATAATTTATTGGTAATGAACAAAATACATTGAATTATAAGCTATAAAGACATGATTATACACTAGAAAAACGTATTATGGGACAAAAATAATAATGCTGAGTAGTTTATGTATTTTTCTTTGTTGTCGTTTTCCTTGAGATCTTTTTACGTGTTGATCCTGAGGAAGATGGACCTGGTACTTCGTCTTCATCATCATCGCTCTCTTCATAGTTTTCATCATCCTTTTCACGGAAATATTGTCCGTATACGGCACTGAACTCCTCATCAACACTCATGTTTCATTTCATGCGAAATGCGAAGACGATAATCAACAGGAACAGTAAACGTCACTTTTTCAGTGTTACTTTTTTAAATGTTCCACACTAGCAACTTACACGATGAACTATAATAATATTCCGACCAACAACAACACTTACTGGACCAACAACAACACTTACTGGACGTCCGGCGCGGAGAACAATTAACGAGATAATGAGAAGCTGACGAAACGAGTTGCTTACTTTTAACAGCTTTTTCACAGAAAACTAGTTTTCGCACGTAAGCTCCCTTTTCGTAGACCAGGTCACATATCATTAATGGTGATTTCGTTTCTACCAAAAACTGTCGCCTTTTGATTGCCCCTTTCTCTTTTCGTGTTCGATTCTAAATTAAAGGCAAAGTGTGAAACAATTATGTGCTCGTTTCTTAAAATGTTACACTCTTGTAAGGCAAAAAAGGCACATTCTCTGCCATGTGAAGCTTTGTCAAGAGGGTGATGGTTGCCCTGAAAGTCAGATAGTTCTTTAAAACGACAATATTATGAAATGCGTGAGCCAGGCAAGGACAAGAGGGCAAAAATATGCCTTTTTACAGGGTTGCGTGTAACATCAAACACATTTTTCACCGGGGAAGGGCAACATTTTTTGGAAGAAACGAAATCACCATAAGTAAAATCAAGTAAAACTCGATCTGTGTGGTAATTTATATTTAAAACAAATATACTTTTTTTGCACCTCTTTTCTCTAGTGCCAGACTATGTATGTACCTCATGTGAGATCTCGTCTAATCGAGGAAGGTGAAGAAAAACAACAACCATTTGTTTATTTTTATTTTATTTTTCTACAATTTATACCGTCCGTCTTATAATTACATACACACATTTAATTACACATACGTACACTCAATTATAGTCGCAGTTTGGTTTTTCCCCAATCGTTTATGTACATCAAAAAAATTAAAATTGCTGTTTTTTTTGTCTTTTTAAAAAACAACTAACGCGATTGTTTTCGGACTTTTGTATGCAAATATTTTTTCATAATTATACTTTTCTTTTTCAGTTTGTATCGTTGACAAATATAAAATTTTATTTTATCTAACTATATACAAAATATTTATGTACGTATCAGCGTTTTATTTTACAGCATTTTTCTTAAATTTTTTAGATTAACAGCATTTTTATTATGAACATTTGATTTAATAGCAGACATGGTTACATACATTCGTATTTTTATATATTCAAAAATGTACACAGACAACTTTGTGTAATCTTAGTTTGGTTAAACTTAATTAATTAGAATCGCTTAGTAGTACACAAAGTAGTAAATAGTACACTCGTGGCCACGCAAATCTTACCCCAACTTAAAAACAAAATTTGGTAGAAGTTTGTGAATTAATAAAAAAAAATACTTATTTGTTTTTTTTTTTTTAATATACGTATGTAGTTCAAACCACAATAAAAACCATATGAATAAAAGATTCCAACTTTGTATACAATTTAGAAAAACGCATCAAAATTTCAATCTTTCACAGTATTATAAAGTATAAGTTTGAAGTACCTTGAAGTTCTGGTTCTCCTTGCGGTCGGAACTATATTAAATTTTTTTTTATTAATTTACAATGTTCGACCAAATTTAAAAAGAAAATGGAGGTAAAGTTTTCATGGCCACGAGTGCATATACATAATGGCATATCTAGACTAAGTACAAGTATTTGCGATGCAGACTCATGCGTACAGACACAAAAAATTGTATGTATGTACACGTTTAAAAATTCTATATGTATATGTATCTATGTTCCATTCGTAGATATGTGGAGTTACATATTTATCAGGATTTAGTTAGAAATATTAGTTATTTTTTGGTACTGTTTTTAGGTACATTTGCGTACAAGAGTGCGGTCATAGTTGCATTAGATTCATACGTACATAGATATTCGTCTTTAAAATTAAGCGAAAAAGTATGAGCAATCGAGAGTTTTATGCAAACCTAACTTTTGAAAAGGAAAGTTGGTTCTGAATAATTTAAATACAAATATGCGGTGATCCATCTAGACCATGGTAATTTTTAAATTTTAAATAAAACACTTAAAACGGAACTGGGTGTTTGAATCTTTTTTTTATCACCCGAAAGAAGAATTTCCGACATTTATTTTTTTTTTAATAATTTAATTAAAATGTTGGCCGCGCATAACCGTAAAAAAACGAGCCATGATCGGCAACATTTGGTTTCCGCAAGTTATCGTGTGATATAACACATCTAGAGTTTTTTTTTTATGTGAAGCCAGAAGTCTTCGTTGATAAGCCAGGTAAGATTCACAACTTGGAAGCAAACATTACTCGCGTAATTCGCGCAGTGGTGGAAAAAGTAACTGAAAATTTTATCTTCCGAATGGACACACACAATAGTACTTTTTTGTCCGCTGAGAAGCTTTCCAAACTAACAAGCATGGTTTAATCGGTGTATTCGTATGAACAAAGTAAGTTACATGAACAAAGCTGACGCTGACGGTGACGGGGACTCACAAATTAGCTCAACTTTCAACTTCGCTTGAGCGTTAGCGTCAAGTGACAACTATTCTATGTTTTGATAACATATTTGAGTTTAAATTTTTTCGATTTGTGAAAATTTTTGGATTTACTTAAATAAGCAATGTAAAATATGAAAGAAAAGTGCAACGCAATTTTTGGAAAGAGTAACAGCGAGTTTTTGATTTTACGGACGCAATGGGGAACGGATAGTGTGTAACTTGCCGCATAAGCACCGTTGACGCGAGGCAAAGGACGTTGCGTACTTTGGCTTTAATTGCAACTCGAATACACCCCAATTTAAATTCTGTAAAAATTTTAATAGAGCTTTAGTGATATAAAAACCAATATTGCTTGAATGAAGCGAATCCCAAACCACATTGCCGATGTTTTTTACGATGTAGGATGAATGAGAGTTGTTACTCATAGGCAGTGGTTACCCAACTGAAAGATATCCATTTGCCTAATATAGGCGGCATACACGGTGCGTCTGACTCGCGAGTCATTTACATATGTACGTATTGACTCGCCTTCGACTACACACAGTTGAATCAGTCAGAGTCATTCCAGGAGTCATGTCGGTGTAACTAACACAAATTCGTTTTCACAAACACATCCCAACCGACTCGCGAGTCAGACGCACCGTGTATGCCGCCTATTAGGTTAAATGCTGTATTTTACGAAAACATCATTCTACGCCGTCATTCCTACAGTGGCCATATACTACGTATGTACATATGTATTAAAATAAGTATGTATGTATGTGCTTTTGTATGAGTATCAATACGCAATTGAAAACAAAAACTAATTCATTTTAGATTTCACTAAAGCTTCAAATTAAAGGTATTTAATATTTACATTAGGATGGTGTTCAACTATTAATTTAAAGTTACATCTAACGGTTTTGTCTTGGAAAAATCCGAGTTTGGTTAAGCATTTCCATTACTCTCTTGGTATTATGATTCTACTTCCGGAACAATTTGGTGCTGATTGCACATACCGATGAAATCTTTTTCTGAGATAAAGCTGTGAAGGATGCACAACTGCATTCTAATAAAACAAAATCAATAAATAATGATTTTCTTAAATTGATATGTTAAATTTTTTCTTTCAAATTTTCAACAGAGGAATCGTGTTGCCCATCTCAAAATCTATAATATTAGGAAAAAAATGAAAAAAATTTAATAGATCCGGAGGATTTTGCATGAAAGAACACTTTCTTTGATCAAGTTGCTTTTATCAAAGCGTTACGAATAATTCGCATTTAGTGTTCAAAAACCACACGGTGCCTTTATTAACAATATATAATATAATGAAATAAATGACTTGGCCGTTCGCAATTTTTGATTCCCCCACTCCGCCACTGACACGTATGTATGTACACATGCGGCTATTAAAAATAAATATCGTATTGTCCAAATTGCTTTTATTATATTTATTTATGTATATGTGTGTACATACATACGGACATGCTAATACATTCAAACATTTGTACACATGTATGCATTTAAGTGCTTATGTATATCAATATATTAATTGATTTCCTATTAAAATAAGCTTTATATGCTTTTTACATCAGAAAATTTGCACAAAGGCAATGGCCAATGTGTGTAAATACGTTTTTTTCATTTGCTTTGATATGACAGTGCTTTTCAGGTAATACGGGCAACCAGATACTAAGCAGATACAGATACATATCGTTACCTTAATTCACAACGGCCCTAAGCATAAAATTTTTTTATTTTACAGGAGAAGCGAAAAGAGTATCAAAAACAGGTACGGCTTTTCAAAAAATTGTATGTAACTCCGTTGTTTTTGGTACTAGCACTTTAAAATCTTCATTGAAGGTATATTTTGATACATCCTACCACAATCTGTGAAAAACGCAGTTTCGAAAAAAGTGTTGGTTAGGGCCTTTGTGCATTAAGATAACGAGATGTGTGTATGTTTATATTAGTAGATTTACTAAAATTTAGCATTAAAAACAATTGTCTTTCAACATTTCCTGAACGGAGGCTAAATTTTGCCATGCCTAGATCAATCAAAATGCAAACGCCGATCGACAAGGTCCAGTTCAGGTGACACCGGTCTATACACGCCCGCATATCTTTGCTTATCACATGCGCATAAATCCGTAGCAAGGGGCGCTTTCATCTTCTGCGTCCACAATACAGGTTCTCTCAAGAAAAAAAAATATATACATATATATATTTTTGCAAATTCTAGCAGGCACGCATAAATTTCGAATTAAGTTTTCTTCCAATTCTTTCTCATGAGGTATGTGTACGTTCAGTTAAAATAGTTAACAATATTAAATTTTTTAAAGTACACTGCCAAAGTGTTTTCAAATAGTGGTCACACCTTGCCAGATAATGGCAAATCTCCGTGTGTGTACTTCTGCCATAAAAAAGCTTCTTTGGAGATGTAGTGTAGATCTCGCCATTTGTGTCACAATAACAAGGAGAACCAGAATTGGAGGAGAAGCCCGGCCAAACACGCAGAAAACGTTTAAGCGCCAAACATTCATTTATTGGAATCAAATATGATATACGATTCATATCCAAATAACCTAGGATGGATGTAATTTTAAAGTTATTCAGGCGTCTTCCTTAAACTGGAAAAGGCCTTGAAAACTTTGAAAAACTCAAAACTTTTATTGAGGGCTCAAGATTTGTATGAAATGAAAAAACCCCGTTCGATAAAATAAAAATCCGTTTTATTAGACATTCGAAAAATACAAATTTCAAAATAACAGCCAGTAGATATCAAAAAAAACCGCAGGAAACCAAGTGAATCGCCCTAGTACATACCAATGTCTTTGCAAATAGAAACGGAATTTAACCTTCAAAACACTAACTCCCGTGAAGGCGAAATCAAACAAATAATGAATAAAAACTAAGCAACTGGTTTTTCTTAAAATAAATAAATTATTTGCTTATTTTTTTATTCATGCGGCCAATGAAACTTACAGCCGACTTCAAAAGGAATTTAAAGGGAAAATGATTTTTTATTTTCTGTCAATTTCCATATAAAAATTCTAAAATCAAAATCATTTCTCACTTAAATTGCTTTCGTGAAATTGGCTGTTAAAGTACATTGTAGAACAGTGTAAAGAATTTATTTTGGAGCCTTGACGAAAAATGGCCAAACGTTAGTATACATGCTTGTCAGTTAAACCTCGAAGGGATTTAGATCCAACTCATCACAAAAACTCAATACTTCGTACAACATTTTAACGTCTAAATCCAATAGCTACGTGGTTTTTGTAGAAGCAATGTGACTTCATTAAGAATGGCAGTTGAAGGATTGAAACATTATGAACAAATGTTAAGCAGGAAATTTCAGTAGGGATCACCGAAAATGAATAAGATCTAATAATTTGTGAAATTCTTGTGCTAGGAAGAAACATCTAAATTAATACAAATACCAATAGTTTTGGAAATTAATGTTGGAAAAATTTACCTACCACACACATATTTATTAGTTTTGTTTGTAGTTCTAAATAAAAGGTGTTTATACCTCCTGAATTTCGTCGAGCTTAATATGGTTTTACTTTTATTAAATATTTGCGCTAACATGAAAAAATGCAATAAAATTATGAGTATAAGTACAATAAAATTTGCGCCGAAAATTTGTGCTTTAGTCGTAACAACAATAAAAAAAAATGTATGTATTTTCTTTTATGTACGGCGAACGCACCACTTGTACAACTATTACTATTATTTATTTTTTTAATTTTCTTTATTGGCGGCATCAGTTTTCGTAATATGCAAGAGATCTTTTTTTGTTTTTATAATTACAATATAGTAGTACACAAAATTTTCGGCGGTCAACAACAAAATAAAATAATAAGAATAAAACTGTTTGAGCAATGAGGTTTCTTACAATTGCAGCTGTATACGTACATACATATGTACATGCTATACATTAATACATACATATATAACTATTTATTTATTAAAAACTAAGTTTTGGCAAATCCCTAAAAATGCAAATAAGCTTACCTAAAACTTGTAAACAATATGTAACAGCTTATTGTTAGCTACAAATAAGCAATTAACAATTTTCAATAAATACACACACCTATCAAAAACAAATAACGGTAAATGGCAAACAAATTTTTAAGCTAAACAAAATAAGTATTTGATAATTGTTATCTTTCAATATTTTACAACAATCTAGAATATTAAAACGAGTTTGATTTATGAATATGTACATAGCTTAAATATACGCTAAAGTATGCTGTGCGCGCGGCAATTTATGTTTAGTGACATAATTACGTATGGCAAATGCTGGTTGTTATTTTTTATGTTTTCCCTTTTTGTTTTGCTCGAATGAACAATCATCACATGCATGCGTCCGCTAACTTCGCATTTTAAAATTAGTTTTAAAATTTAATACATAAAAAATGACATTTTTAAAATACACTTCACTAGCATTATATATCATTTTCTATGAGCAATTCTTTTTTGTTTTTAGCTTACTTGTAGATGTATAATGTATGTATGTATAAGTATATTCTCTTTAGATATATAGGCATTTTCTTCATCCTCATCTTTATGTGACATATATACATATGTATCTAAACGCTTCCTAAACGCTCTACTACACTAATCAACAACGCACAATCACATACATATTTATATACATACTCGTACTTATACAATAAAGTTTTTAGATACAATTAGGTATGTGTAGGTAGGTAGTTAGTTTATAAAATTCACGCTTGCTTTTGCTGCCGTTGCACAGGTAATATAAATGTGTAGGTATGTGGGTAATAGTAGACAGTGTTTGCTAGTCGGCCAACTGCCTTTGCTAATCAGCACATTGTCTCATTGTATGGTGGATCCTTCTCCGATTCGGTGCTTGATTTGATATTGGACGACAGTTTGGCAATTTCATCTTGTACTGTGTGTGTGCTTATTTGTGGCATGGCTGCGGTGGCGTGCACATTGTCGCCACCGCTCTCCTTTGACTCCTCCGTGCTGGAGCTGCTCTCCTTGAGTATGTTCATGCCGAGTGTTTTGATGCCGCCGGGCGGCTTGAGTGAGGATAGCAATTTGGCTGGCACTGCAAGTGCTGGCAGTACAGCAGCGGCCGCACTTGTTGCGCTCGTATCGACCAACGCGCTGCCAATTGTCTTCGCTGCACCAGTCGTTGTTGCTGTTGTCGCCGGCAGCGCGTTGAGCGTTTGTGTGTGCAATGAGTGTTGCAGCTGCTGTGGCTGCACTTTGCTCGCTTGATCCATGCTAAACTGCTTCTTCAGCTGCATGGCACGCGGCAACGCGGACTGCACCTGCGACATTACCGCCGCTGCAGCTGCTGCTGTTGTGGCGCCCAGCTCCATGGGCGTTGATGCCGCTACTTCGCTGGCGCGCTTGTTGACCATATCACGTTTGCCATCACTGGCGCCCATGGCAGCTGTGCGTAGCGGTTGATAACGTGCAGTAGTGTCGCTCGCGTTGCCGTTGCTTGCAGCAGTGGCTGTGCCATTTCCACCGGCGCCGCTGCTGGCGACAAGCTCCTGCACAGTGGTGGGCGTTGTTTGTGTATTTGTTTCGACTGCATCAAGCGACAGTTCAGCCGCCAGCGATGGTGTATCGATGTTGTAGGAACCAGTCATTGAGGTGGTTGTGTCGTTTGAACTTTGCTTAATAAAGCGATATGGATGCGCTGAATAGTCGGTCTCTGTGCTGGAGCCTTTTTGTAAACTCTCGCTGGACTTTTTGAATAATCTGCCGGTGCTTTCGAATGGTGCATTTAAGAATTCGCTTGTGGCGCGCGTTGGCACCGCTGCCGATTGATATGTTTGTTGCTGCTCCATGGAGGAGTTGCGCTGCCATGGCCGCTCGTTTTTCAAGAGGAACCCAGCTGGGCCGGTGGATGAGCTGGAAAATACAACAGCTCCAC